GTAGGGCAGTAAAGGCGTGAGCACTTATAAGCGCTTATTTTCCAAAGAGAACGATAAGTTAGATTGCGTCGATGAAATCGACGCAATCTAACCTCCAATATAAACCTTAAAGTGAAATAGTGTTTCAAAATGACTTCCAACGAGAGTAACAAAACCAGAATAACTCTGCAAGATATTACAAATAATAAAATGTATACACTTGTTGTTACATCAAATGAGGCAAAACGTGTAGAAATAGATAAGTTTAGGACACCTCTCATAAAAATTTATTATTTTTGTTATTAAATCATATTTATTTTGAGTAATAAAGCAATGTCCAACAGTAATTAAAAAAAAAATAAGTAATATTTCAGCAACACTAGTAATACATTTGATGAAGAAAACGGACTTTCTCACAAATTTACCTAAATCTTCATATTTTGTTGTATAAAACATGAATATTATATGAAAGTTAAAATCGTTGATCTTAAATAAAACAAAAGTTAAAAAGTGAAAAGTTATTAAAATGTGACTTAAATACTTCATCATTGTATAATGGTACAATCACTTCCACATAGTTTTTTAACCAAGGTATTGTTTTTTTTTATTGATTCAATCATTACGGATAAATACTTTTCTAATTCTTCTTTATATAAGTTATTTGTTTCGTTATCATCAAAAACATCTAATGAAACTAATATTTGAGCAAATATACAAACAATTTCCTTATCTTTATCCTCCATTTTTACGTTCACAATTGCTTACAACAGCCAAAGGAAACGGTTTTGATCTTTTCGATGAGTGCGCTTAGAAATCAAAGTAACCGGGCAAAAATAGCGCTCATAAGTGTGAGCGCTTTAAATATGTGAGCGTCCAAAACGAACGCACCCGTAGTGGTAAGCGCGGTCAGTGGTGGGGATGACGGAAATATCGCAGCGTTACTACTTGGCTAGTCGGCTCGGGTGTATATCAGTTGGACACGGGACAATTGGACACAGTCCAATCACAAGTCGCTGTTCCAAGGGACCCTACAAATGTCTCTAATCACACGGTACTGTGATTGGCTGTGTCCAAATGCACCGTGTCCAAGTGCACCGCTCCCAGTCGGCTCGCCTGAATTGTGCAGCTCTGATTTAGAGCAACAAATTGTTATAATTTTATTTAATATAATCTTCACGTATACAAACAACAAAAACAGATTAATGTGTTGCACACACAAAAATGAATTATTGGTTAAAAACAATCACTCACACCCTCACTCAATTGCTCTGTTCTTTTTAGCTGCACTGTTGAACTAGTGCAATCAACGACATATATATAACGGGTGCGTTCGGGGAGCTCGCTATAAGAGGCACCGTACACGAATTAATATAACAGTAACGTAAGTCATACCGTAAAAATGGATTAATTACAACCAAATATTTACAAAAATGGCGACCTTACGGTTCGACGATACTCAAAGTGATTGATCAATTCTAAAGCTGGCCACACACACTTTCCATAACAGTAACCGTAAGACGTAACGTAAGAATTGACCAATTACGATCGAATATTCACAAAAATGGCGATCTTACAATTCGAAGATTTTCACTGGGTGCTTTCCAGTTGCGTACACTGTGTTACACAAAACCAGTTTATTGATTGCATATTATCTTACAAGATATTTTAGATATGTGACCAATAAACTGGTTTTGTGTACGTGTGTGTCAAGATGTGTCAAGATTAAGCAATTGGAAAGCATCCAATGACTCTTCCAGTTTAGATTTCTGTCGAAAACAACACCCAGGAATTTAATCGAATCAACCCTGGAAATGATATCACTATTAAGTTTAATCTTGAGATGCCTTTTGTCAGTGAAATCATTTGCCTTTTTGAGTCTATCTTTAGAGAACAAACAAAACAATGACTTCACACACGATATTTCAAGGCTAAGTCGTTCAATATTCTTATTAAAAAAATGCATCGCATCATTAATCAGACCGTATACAACGGCAATTGATTGACTGGTAGTATATAAACAAATGTAATCCGCATAGGCAAGATAATGGACGTCCTCCGGTAGAGAGCCGAATATAAATTAAGTGTAAATATTAAAGAGAATAAGGCTAAGCACCGAACCATGCGGAAGACCGCGTTTTGCGCACCTATCCTTATAGAAATATCATACTAAGAAATACTGAAAAATTATTAGTGATTAAATATTACCAGTAATTCAGTAATTTTTTGGCCAGTACTTAATTTCTGGTGAATACTGATAATACAATCACTGTTAAATATTGATAGTAATTAAATACTGAGAATTATTATGCGAAGGTGAAAAATGAGAAAATTATAATGTTTACAAAAATATACTTATATTCCTAATTTTTTCATGTCTCAAACTACTAAATATCGAAGGTTGTCAACACATTCCAAAACTTTTATGAATCCTCCTGCGATAATTTCGATCCCAAGCAGTATACCACTGGCCACATCCATGTCCTGACCGCATTAAACTGTTGCTTAACCTGACGATCAAGCGCGCACGCGGTGACTCTAATGACTCCAACGATGTTCTTACAATTCATGCTTATATAATGTATCCTTATATTGTTCACAGTATATTATAACATACCTAGCAAACACCAAATAATAGTTATATAATTTTTACTTGTTGCTTATTGGATAATTTGTTGATAGATATTGAAACAATGCAACATTCGATATGCGATGAATATTGATATAATATAGTGAACCAGTGATAATTACTTTTACATTTTTAACAAAATGTTATAATGATTAATCCA